ATTGGGGTTCCTTATTTTCTGAAATTCAAGCTAATGGGCTTCGGCTTTGATGCTGCGGTAAGCCGGTCGAAGCTTGCAACTTCTCACACGGTCCATTCGTGATTCCGCTGGTCTCTCGCCATCACTCATCCTCATACTCGTCAAGTTGGGTCCATGCTTGAGAGCAGGACATGGAGGTTCGACTGTCGAGGACCACGCTCAAGGGTGGCCAAGCTTGGCTTGCCAGCTGGTTGAGACAGCCAGCGCTTCTTCAGGTCGCCTTTCTTCTGAGATTTGTCTGCCGAGTCCGGCTGCATTAGTTTAGGCCTTCTACTGTTTCTGCTGGCCCACTATGGCGGCAAAACACAACAGCAACTTCCAGAAAAACTTCGAAGCTCTCTCCGTCTTATGCTTCATGCACACCTGATGTCCTCTTCGGAGTTGGGCTCAGTGTTACAAACACAGGCAACATGGACAGCAAAGCAACTATTTGGACCAGCAATGTGCACACAAGTCTATAGCATGTTTTTTTCATAATATGTATGACGGGTGTCATAACCCCGACTCTTGATGATTTAACTTTTCATCGCTACATCACAGCCCGCCCGCATGTTGTTCACAAGTGATCGAGAATACTGACCGGCATCGGTCGCAACAGCTGCAAGTAGTGTAGATGATCAGGGCAACCATGACAATACTGGTACTCATAGCAACAATCAGTCCCAAGTCTTGAAACTGTTCCCTGGAAACACTCCATGGAGAGTTGCTGTGTCCTCCGTCACCTTCGCCTCCTTGGGGGAGATGGGACGCTTTGGAACTGCCGAGATGGATTCTCTGTTCCGACCAAGGTGTTTTGGATGAAGGCTCACGTGCTCGGACCAACCAAACGGGGCTCTCGGTCTGCATCAGTCGACAGCAAAACCGCATCAGACCAAAACTCAGTCTTCCCGGCCAGTACATACAGGGTACCGCTTGGTGTTTCTTGCGCCCGCGACCCTAAACCGTAAGTACTTAGCGTTTTTCTCGCGGACGCATCTGAAGGATGCGCTTGGATAAATGCATGTGGAGTCTTGAACATCATATTCTACAGCTGGGGGAGGTTTCCGTAAGAAGAAGGGACCCGGTAACCTCCATGCCGCAGCAAGACTTGGCCAGCTGGACAGGCTTCGATAGAAATAGAATCCACCCCGCAGCTGCATGATGGGATTTAAGACTTTCTTGAAGTAGGGGCGCCTGTTCTATCAAGATCCGACCTTTTAGGGCTTATATGAGGCCCCGAATTTTCTGCAACCTTTCATGTCTGAGCCCCTCATTGAGACCCTTGTAAGCATGGCTTGGGCTGGCGCTGGCGGCTCCTGCGTCTCCTCCTCCTCCTCTTCTTCATCCTCGGCGTCTTCGTCGCTGGCCTCCTGCGGGTAGGACGCAGACGTAGGGCTCGTGGTAAAGTTCGAGATCTGGTCTTAGAGAGAAGCCAATGCTCCCCCAACCCTTCTGGCCGGAAACCCGGCCCATTGCGCAAACGCCCACAAGGGAAGGAGAATTCCAGGTCCTCGGCTTTGGGTGGCACAGTGAAGGAGGATGGGCTTGAACTTCGCGATGAAGAGCAAGCTTCCTATCGCACAGGACTGTGGACTCGCGCTCGCCTATTGCAATTCTGCCGCCTCTCAGCCACATTCCAAGTGCATGCGCCCACCGAGTCATGTGCCTGCAGATTCGACTGCAAGTTCGAAGTCACGGAGAAACCAACCAAACCACAGCGAGGGAAACCAACCGGACTTTTTCCAAGAAGCTGTTGAAACAGCCCTTTGAGCCTGCATGACCGAAACACAGCAAAAGGCTCCAAAGCTCTAAGAAATTCTCCAGCCCCGGATTCTCACCACGAGCCTTGGTTGCTCCCGGAGCACTCGCGGCCGATGCCTGCAAGTGTTGGGGAGCAAGACATACCATAGTACTATTATACTACAGGGACGAGAAGGTGGTCTATTACTAAGCATTCAGATCTCTATATTACAATCCCGACCCATGTTGCCTCTGCCGACGCCACCGGCGCTATGGAGTCTTGCGCCGCATCTTTCCTGGGAGGTGGAATGTTCAAGAGAGCATGTTCTGGGCTCTGCTTAACGAATGTAATCCAATTTACGTGAACCATATAGTAAGGAAACATGCTACTTAGCAACAATGCATGAACATTCTGGTGATCTGCAATAAGATCCAGAGCGAAGTCCACAGGAGCCCTTCTCCGATCATCGAGCCGGGGCACCGGGTGCGACTCAGCTTGATCTGCAGAAGCTGCTGCCGGAGCCCTGGGGGCGGATTAGGGTGTAGGGCCCTGCTATGGGGAGGCTGTTCGGATTTCGTGCCTAGAATGACAGTTGCATTCATGGCTTGGGGCCGTTGCTCGACACCAATGAAACCGCAAAGCGAAGGCCAAAGTGGACCGCAGTCCAATAGCAGGTGCAAGCAGGTGCACGGCCTTTGATCTCGTCTTCAAGCTGCCGAACTTGCTCTGAGAGGTTCCTGGCAACGTGTGGCTTGCGGGGTTCTGTTGTCTGTAACACCGCGGAGAGCAGCGAATCACTGTTGCCTGTAGCGTAACACTTCGATCCATGACACGAACAGGACGACCGCTATCTGACTGCTTGAGACTGCTCGAAGACCCTCATTTTGCATCATTCCCCGCCTGTTTTCTTCTGTCATCGTCTGCAGTTTGGCGTCCTGTCAGTGTTTGCCACAGCAGCAAATTCTCACGTTTCGTGGTGGAAGCTTACCCACGCAACTCCTGTGCCCAAACGGCATGTCAGAAGGGTTCTCTGGGGGCAGTCTCCTTTTCTTCGCCATCTCGTTGATGCTGCGAAACCTGCAGCGGGTCTTCGGACCGTGCTGAAGCCCTGAAGCAGTTCCGTCGCTATCCCAGGATGCGCCTACAGTTGCAAGGCCCATCAAGCGTCAGCTTAGAAGTGTGTGTGTGTGTGCATGTGTGAAAGCTGTGCAAATGAATTTCCGCTGCCTTCAACTTTCCTTCCAAAAGCCCTTAGATTTCGGCCCTACCCTGTGACCGAAGCAACAACCTCCGCCCCCCCAGAACCCGCACCTCTGCGGACAACCTCAGGCACAGTGGGAAGGTGTTGCCGCTTGTCTGTTGGCCCTTGCTGCCGGGTGAGTTCATCGTGACAAGCAATTTCCAAAGCCTTTAAGCTTGAGGGATAGTGAGGGTTTCGGGTCTGATTTTGTAGATCGTGCTTCGGGACTTGCCTTTCGTCAACAGCAACAGAGAGGCTACTCGATTGCTTACATCTCGTGGAACGGCTTAAAGTTGCCTTGCTGGGTCGTCCTAAATCCTAAAACTATTTCTGTCCCTCCACAGCCAGAACGATTATCTTATAAGCGCTTGCAGCTGAGCTGCTGGTCCAACTGCGCCTGGCAAGCGGCACGGATGTCCTACAACTTTGTTAGGGCTCTCTGGGGCTTCAGCGGCCACAGCATGCAATTGTACGCCTCCCCGCAAAGAGGAGCGTAGGAGTAGCAGTCGTCGGGGTGGTGGTGTGGTAGCAGGTCGCACCAACAACTAATTTGAAATGACTATACTGCTATGTCAACTACTGGTGGCGACAACGAACGTGTTCTTGATCACGGCGCTAGACTGAAACTGCACTAGTAAGCAGAAATAAACGAGCCAGAAAAGAACAACTATTAGACACGAACGAAGATATAACCGACACGAGTGAAGCAGCACGTGTCAATAAAAAGCAGCAGCATGAACGTTTTGTAACCTGACTGAAATGCTACTCATGCTCGGCCTTCTGCGCAGAGGAGTAGAGCTCGGCTTGCGTGATCTTGTCCTCACAGTCAGCCATTGGCTGATCGAGGCCCCCCCGAATTCCAAGCCAATCCCACGCACAAAAAAAGCGAGTTCGGTCCTCGCTCACCTGAGCCGCTGACGCAAGTACCTGCAAAGCGCAAGCTTTAACAGCAAGAGGTTGTGCGTACGCTGCACGGTACCCCACCCAACAAGTGCAGATGGGTAGCCTCCTGCTCATCCTGCACTGCCTCGGTCAACGGTTCATGCAATGCTGGAGACTTGCAATGCAGGGGGCTTGGGGCTTCAAGCTCCTTTCTGCAAAAGACCATGCCAAGCCAATCCTGGACGAAGAGGTCTCGCCCGTCATGCCTAGTTTGTACATCACATATTTAAGAGTTTGGGGTCCTGATGATATTTCTTCCAGCATCTGTAAGACTGAGATTGGGACCCGGATGATTCTCTCGAAGACCTGAGGGTTGAAGGCGGCTTCAGTTGCAGATCGCGATTTTCCAAACGACCGTTGCCAACCCTGCAAAAACCAAACCAGTCTCAGATCTTGCTTCGGGCATTGAAAAACGTGGATTACGTATGCTTCCTGGCCCTCGGGAATGTCGAAAAAGTTCGGGAGGCGGCCCCCCTGCTCTGACTCTGGGGCGCCCTTGCCCTGGACCTATGTCGAGAATGTAGTCTTGCAAGCAAGTCGCTTTGCCCACTTCCGTGGAGAGTTGCATCCGGCAGACAGCACTTAAAGCAGGACCGGCGAGCGGATCCTACTTCCAAGGCTTGCAATGTCGAAAGTGCTGTGGTCAATCCCCTTACGACAGCTTCCTGCCACTGGAGCTCGTGTCACGGCCTCTTCTTACGATCGTTATCTGCAACCCTTGTGGCCTTGGTATGTTTGTACTTCTGCGCATGAACAAATTATCAGCATGGACATTGCTGTAGACATTGAAAGCATGAGCCAAAGAGCCGGCACTGTCGACCTGAGCTTGAGGCTGCGGTCCCTGCGAACCTGCTCTTAGCAATTGACCGAGGGCTTGAGTTTTGGGGTCCAGCCTTCAGCTAGACGCTGAGGCTAACACTCGGAAACTCTCCTTGGAAGGCTGGTCGGAAGGGAGACCTGTGGCTTTTTGTATCTTTTCGTTGTGGCGGTGTACCTTTGGACCTTCTGGGGCTGACAATGCACAACTTTCTTCTTTTCCACTCCGGAGCCCGTCTGATGTCACACGGGGGAGCCGCGAGCAGGCTCACGAACTAAAAAACCTATAGCACCGGACACCGACCACTTTCTCAGTTCCGTGTCTAGCTTTGTCCGCGCCTCCCTGAGCTGATCACCCTGCTCTTGGGAAATAGAAGATGGCCCCTGACGGTAAACAAGGGGCAACCCAGGCCTCGACAGAGGCTTAGGCTCCAGCGTCTGCTTCGTAATTTCCGAGAAGCTCGCAGCCGCAGCTCGGATCTCTTGGTAAGCGGTTCTGGCTTTCTTCAGCGCTGGTTCGAGTTGGTCGATGCGGTTTTGCTTGCTCAATGCTTCCCGCCGGACCGCTTGGGCTGCAAGGAGCAGGAGGTCGGGAGCAGCTTTCCCGATATTCACCAGGTCTTTCTCCGTGAATTGTTCAGCCAGGGAGTTGATGCATCGCATGCACTGATGCATGAGACCGTGTCGGTGAGCTTGCAGCAGCCGGCCCATAGTTACAGGCAATTCGAGCAGGCGCTTCTCACATCCCTTCTTAATGAAACCAACCTGGTAGTAGTCGCCAATTGCCAGCAGTGCATCAACGTTGTTCTCGGTGACTGCATCAAGGTTCCACTCTCCTGGGAGCAGCAAGCCGTAAAAAAGCTCAAAATCCTCCGGCATCGCCACTTCGACTTTGACGGATTTTTGCTGTGCCTCCTTCATGCCAGCTCTCAGCATTCCGCGGAACACTGGTGAGGCCAAGCAGAGCACTGCGGAACATACGGTTTTCCTTTGGCCATTGAAGTCGAACTCCAACACGAGATCATTCTCATGGTCGACGCTGGCCGCTTCATCTGCCTTCCACCCGAGTCTGAACCGAAGCTAAATGAAATCCGCATCTCAAGATGCGAGCAGCACTTTATTGACACCCGTACCAATCATTATGACCCCCCCCATGTTCTCGTAACTCACTGAACTGCGGGCCTCACCGTTGTTCGCCATCTCTCTGTCCACTTCAACCATGATGTGCAGCGAAGGGTGGTCGTAGCTTGACGCTAAAGGGGATCTGTTCTTGGTCTCGCGGGGTTGGTAGTAAGTCTGTGAAGCTCCACGAATTACGTCTGAGACATACGGACATGCACGAAATGGAGGCAACAGGCTGCGTGGCAGTGTGGCTGACAGCAAACGAAGAAGGGCTGTGCCGAGTTTGGACCCGCCTACTGAAACCAAGAAGCTGAGCCGTTGCAACTCTGCAACTTTGAGCCGCCGGACATCAATGCTGAGCCTGAAATCGTGCAGATCATGCCTGTGAGCTGGAAGTCTTACACTCAAATCTAAGCTTGATTCATAAGGTTTCTCCGCAGCCAGACAGGTCTGATGGGCCAAGCATTTGCGCATCCGCCCGGCAGGCGAGACGGGGCTCTTGCAGACAAGGGTTTCCCAGTTGACTGATGGTAGATGCTTCGTGCTGAGTTGCAGGACCGTGTCGAAACAGGGATTCTGTCAATCCGTGTCTGCTGCTTGCAGCACATGTTACAGTACTTAAGGCAATGTTTAGAGAAGAGGGAAACCCCTGCATGTTGCCACCTATGTGTCAAGATCTCAGGGGGCAAAAGACACGAAGAGGCAGTTGATCGAGCAACACGGTAGACCCAAAAATATCGGATGCCATCTGCTCCATGCTTTCGGCACTGACAAGATAACTGCAGGCGCCCAAAACCACAAGAAGGGAAAGGAGACAGAGGGTTCAAGGGTTTCCGCAAGTAAGTGTAAAGGGATTGAGTTGGGTCCAAGAGGGTGGAAGCATCGCAACCTTGCTTCCACCCCTTTTCCTATCGACGTTGTGAACCGTAGAAGCCCAAAGCCCTAAATTCCAATCCTTCCAATCTCCGGTGTGATGACTACCCCTTTCCCTGGTACAGCTTACCCGCAACTTATCTAAGGCCGAAAAGCCTTATCGCACCCCAACCCTCAGCCCTTACTCAGAAGCTCTGCGCCCCTGCCAAATCCAAAACCTCTCTGATCAAACCCTAAACCCTTATAAAATCCAATACCTCTGTGATCAAACCCTAAGCCCAAGGCCCTAAACCCTTATAAAATCCAATACCTCTGTGATCAACAGCAGCAAGAAAGCGAGAAACGGGGGACCGGAGGCATTGGCCCTCGGCTCTGAGCCCTCGAGGGCTACACGGGTTCCAGACACATCGATGCAGGGCTTCCCCCTTTTTTGCTACGACAAGAACAGCAGAGTGTACACATGTCCATGTATACACACATACTTATATGTATAGCATGTGTATATGAACACTTTTTTCTCTATACGCATACATATGTGCACATATGCACACATATGTACATACACACACACACACATATATATATATATGCTCACCCCCCCCTCCATGACACGCGCAGATCGTGCTTCTCATGGAGGGGGTGGGGCTTGAAACTCTAAAATTCCAGAATCTTTAGGGCTGACAAG